ATGTGACAAAGGTTTATTCTCATTAGCATCAGTCATGCATCCTTCTCTGGTAAAAGAAGCTGTATATTCTTTATTAGTATTACTGGAAATACCCTTAGCATTTGAAGACTGAATCACAACATTCACTTTGTGGTCAAAAATATCCTTGGCACTGACAGGGCCAGGCCTACGCTGTGTGTTTAATGCAAGATTTGTTTCTGTTGTCTCACAGTCAAGTGGGGGCTCATTTTGCATAACACTTTTAACAAGCTCTGTAAGGCACAACTTTAATGGTATTGAACTAACAGCCCCTTTTCTGACATCATCTTCCCCTTCACCTGTTTCCCTGTTTCTTTTTGCATTACATAGTCTTATTAATGAACTTCTAGAGGCAGTTTCAGGTCCCGCTGCTGTTTCAGTAGGGTCTTCTCTCTCAGGCAGTGACTGAATAACATCCTTACTTAAGACACGGACCTTATTGCTTTCCCATATTACTGGACCTTGCTGGCTGCCCACAACTTTTTTATTTATCTCTGCACAATCCCCTAGGTCACCACAACCATCTATTTCTCTTATTTCTCTTCTGGCCCCTCCACTGAGAGAGGAACGAAGACGTTCTGAAGGTTTCAGACGAGTATCAGGTACTTTTTGAGAACTGTTAGTGTATTTTGGCTCCTGTTCTGAGGTATTTGATTTCACTAAATCAGAAACTGTGTCATCTTTGCTTGACAACGGAATCTCTGCTTTATTGTTTCTACATGGATCAGACAACTCAGCAGTGTTCTGAATTGGGGCATTTCCAGTTTCCTGTACATTTTTACTTGACTGTATAAGACTTGAACTTTTTTTTCCAGTAATAGGTTTCCTCTTAACATCTTTTGATTGCAAGGTACACATCTCATAAGAATCCACAATTCCATCACATGCTTTCTTAAAACTTTCTTGGATGCTCTTCTCGTCAAGAATTGAGGGCTTCAGACCTGGAGTGTTATTCAAATGAAAGTCATTATGTTCATTAAATTCTCTGATGTCCTCACTACATGGTTCAATAAATAAATGCTCTCGTTTCAAAAATATTTTCACTCCTTCCTCTATGCAAGTTAGAAGAACATCCCAGTTCTGGAACTCAATCAGAGTCTTTGCAGGTTCCAGGCACACATCATAGTCACTGTATGCACAGGTTACATTGAGAATAAAGATCCCATATAACTCTGGTCCACAGCGATGGCGACCAGGACTTGAATTAGCCTGTCGACTTGCAGGGACACTTTTTGCCTTGCAGATTACACTTTCTTTTCTTAATAAAAAATCAATTAGTTTATGTAGTCTTGTCTTTAAAACAAGCCTTCTATTCACATACAAGAACTGCATATTCTTATTGTAATGTCCCTCAGTACTGATAAAACCACTTATCTCAAATCCTCTAGACTTGTGATTTATTTCTCGCAGCTTCTGGGATCTGCCCAGTCCATAAATTTGACAAAACCGAGAGTATACATCTCTTGTCTTAGGGAGCTGAAGCACCATAGAACAAGAAATATCATTTCTTAAAGAAAGGGAAACAGAAGGATGCATTAGTGAAACAGCCTCTACCTTCTGTCTCACTCTCTCCATTTCCAACACAGGATCCATACACTTTCTCCTCACTGGCAACTGATGGAACAGATTGCACACGGTGACTGTAGTTCCGCCACTTGGTCTGTTCAATCCAGCTTCACACACTTCCAGTGCTTGCCCATTGTGAAACAGTTTCATGAATGTTTTTGCTGTTTTACTGGTCTTAGATGAGATTTCTACTACACTGGCCATGTTGGCTATACTTGCCAAAGCCTCTCCTCTAAAGCCATAGAAAGTCAAGTTCTCCAAGTCTCTCACTGAGCTGCACTTGCTGGTGAAATAGCGCTTTCCAATAGCCTTTAAGTCCTCTTTCCCCATCCCAGAGCCATTGTCCACCACCTGGATCTTGAAAGCTTCCAAATCCACCCTGATAGCTACACATGTTGCTTTGGCATCGATGCTATTGAGGACAAGCTCCTCAACACATTGTCCGAGTGAGTTGATAGTGACTCCAGAACGCAGCCTGGCTCGCACATCTTCCACCAAACATTTGATCATGTCAAAATCTGACAGGTGAGGAACACAAGAAACTGCAGGGAGCTCACTGTTCCATGTTCCTAAAACATGGAGAGAAAAGGAGAAAAAATTAAAGAAATACAAATTAAAGACCTGAAAAGATTGTCATTTATTTCTTTCACCCTCATAAATAACACTTTTCTTAGTTTTCTTGGCATTCTGAGGCTTTTTCTGTGATTACTTTCATGCTCAGGCTCTGACTACTCACTGTCAGTGCCTTCAGGTTAGATGGCCAGAGCCTGAGTCTAAGCTCCTTACTAACAATATGCTGTGTTCTCAAACAGCATACCCAAATCACACTCCTACCTTACGAGGCAAAACTCAAAGGACCTGAAAGCAAAAGGTCTCTACTGCAATTTTCATCAGAATCATAGAGTAAATTTCACCAAGAATTGGGCAGAAAGCTGTTTTTCTCCTGTTTTTACCTCTATGTCCCCACAAAAATTCACAGTACTTCGTCCTGGTCAAACAGCATCTGCTGCTACTTATCCAGGAAAGGAGTAAAACGGGCTTGGCAATGGGTGTCAGGCAGAGCAAGCTGTTTATGCGAAAGAGAACCCACTGTTTCCAAGTCCTTGGCGCCTACTGGTTTCCTAGTGGCATTCAAAGGTCCTGCCAGCCGTGCCTGGGGATCCGGTGCCGCCGCTGTGAGAGGTCTCCCGAGGCTCCCGGCCCCGGGACTTGAGGAGGGCGGAGCGGACCCGCGGCTCAGCTCGCCACCTCGAGCTGTTAGTGCCCTCCCCTCACAGCCGGAGCGCTCTCTGCTTCCTCTTCGGGGCCGCCCCGGGCCCCGCTCCCGCCCTCGCCCCCTGAGCACCCACCGGACCGGACCGGACCGGGCCGGACCGGGCCGGACCAGGCCGGCCCCGCAACGGCCGCCGCGCGAGACCAACGGCACCGGGCCGCCGGGCTCCTCGCGCGGGGCAACGGCGCGTGCGCAGCTGCGAGCGGGCGGGGTCCGCGCAAGAGCACGCCGGGAGTTGTAGTTCCCACCGGACTGGGCCCGAAAAGGCCCGCGAGGCCGGGAGCCTGGTCCGGCTGCAGGAAGCACGGCCTTCCCCTGGCCATTCCCGGACAGCGGCACCGAGGGGAGAGGGAGAGAGAGCAACAAGATCCCGCTTCCAGGGCCGTCATCCACTCAGCCCCTCCATCTGACATCCATTCCACACAGGAGGTGAAATCGAAACAATTTTATTTTACAGAAAATATGAAGTTCTGGAATAAAATAATGTTTTTTTTCTGAGGCATTTAGTGCACAAAAATAATGTTTTTAGCGATGTTTTCTATCGGCATTTACCCTGTGATTTCCTTCACATGAGCACTACACTACAAATTTCAGATCTGTCTCATGTACAACTCCCCAAACCACGTACACTTAGAAACAGAGGTTCTGGCCCTGAACAACCCCTTTTTAAAAGGGATAACGCAGCTCTTCCTCTACCCACTGGAATTCTGCGAAAAGATGAGCATTAAACAGTGCAGAAAAACAATAAATTAGGAACTCAATAAAATAAAGTTCTCTAGAGCTGAACATTGGCTGACTGAATGAGTCAGGAAGAGGGGAAATGTTTTGTGAGGGCAGGTCATGCTCCAGACTTTACTTCTTCCGGGACAAAGTCACTTCAAAATCTGGAATTCCTTGTGATCCAGCGCCTCAATCTTCTTCTCATTGCTGAACTCTGCTCGGCTGATACGGGACTGGGGACTTCCTATCTTCCTGAGCCATTCTTGCAGCTCCCGCACCCTGGCAGTTGGACCCTGGATTTGGCCTTGAACAGTGCCATGGCTGGTGTTTTGGACCCAGCCAACAAGCCCCAGTTTCTTAGCTTCTGCCTGAGAAGACAATGCAGAGCAAAATGAGGTTAATCCAAACTGTAAGAGACCAATAGAACAACATTCGCATACAGGAGCCAATTTTGTTGGCAATTCATAGACCTCCAAAGAAGTTCCTGTGGCTCAAGCAGCAGGAAAGCAGCAGAGGCTTCACTCGACTACTCAGTATATTCTTTCACGCGAAAAACTGGGGCTGAAACTCACCCTTCAGTCATGCTTACATAACCTGGCCGGGCTGCCAGCAGCACCGCGGTATCAGCCGCCTTCAGCAGCAGCCGGAGCTCAGCCCTCAGCCGCGGCCACGACCCCGCCCGCCTGCGGCTCGGCCCCTCCAAGGCGCCCGCAGTGACAGCGGGCTGGCAGCGGGCTGACAGCAGGCGCGGCGCACGCCGGCGGGCAGAACAGCCCGCCCCCGGGGATCGCGGCACGTACCTGGGTGTACTTGCGGAAGAACACGCCCTGCACCTTGCCGTGCACCTCGTAGTCCACGGACATCAAGCCATCGCCGTCCGCCATGGCGGCACCGCCACCTCCTCTCGCTTCTCCTGCGACCGCAGTCGCCGCGCGCCCCGCTGCGCCTGCGCCGCGCTGTGGCAGCCGGGCGCGTGGCCTCACTCCTGCGGCCAATGAAGAGCAGTGGTGGGGTCGACCCGGCCCCTCATTCGCCGCCTCATGAATAATGCATGTCGCCTCACGGATAATGCGTCTCGTACTGCTTCATGAATAATGCATATCAGTATCGGACCGCCTCATGAATAATGCATCAGGGCCGCCCACGGGCGCCGCGCTCGTGCCGTAATGGAACTGCCGCGCGGCCGGGAGCGATCCAAGGGCGCGCGCCGGCCGGAGCAGCGCCGGTCTCCCGGCAACAGCCGCCAGCAGCGCACAGCCCCACGCCGGGCACAGCCCCACGCCGGGCACAGCCCCACGCCGGGCACAGCCCCACGCCGGGCACAGCTCCGCGCCGGGCACAGCTCCGCGGAGGGCACAGCTCCACGCCGGGCACAGCTCCACGCCAGGGCCCCGGGCAGCAGCAGGAGGGATCGGTTCTCTTGGGCCATAAGCGCGGCGTGTGGCGACGCAGCTTGCCGAGGAGGGAGGCCGGCGCGGCCCCGCAGGTAACCCCGCTCGCCTCGCGGCGTGAGCACCCAGCACAGCTGGAGGGATGTGGTGGAACGAGCCACAGGAAGATTGTGCCGAGATTGGTCGGACTCCTGCATGTCAGATCTGTGTGACAGAGTGGTGGATCACATTGCCGGAACTGAAGGGACACGTTATGAGAAACCGCCTGGGGAAACTGCCTGCTCTGTCGTTGCAGTATATTTCTGCTGCTACTATGATAAGGCAGGGCTCAGACAGAAAAGAAATAAAAGTGTGTCTTATTTCTGGCTGCATAAACGGTTGGGACTAGAAGAGGCAGCGTGGGAGCTCCATAGGTGGGAGGAATGTAAAGATTTATAGAAAGCAAAAAAGTTACAAAACCTTTACTAATACATATTATAACCTGTGTCTGTAGCCTCTATGCATAAGCTGTTAGGAGAAGATTTGTCTAGTTTTGGATAAAATTGTTTGTAATGTCTTTTCTTCTAATCTCAGGCTCTTTCTCAGGCACTGAATGGCTTTTCCACTGGTGGCTCCTGAGGTGGCAGCTACTGAGTTTTCTCCTGGTTTCCAGCTGAAACACCAGAAGAAGAACTTTCAGCATGGATTCATACTTGACAAAGAAGAAAGTTTAAAAGATCTCTATGCACAAAAGAACCAAAGATTTTCCTATTCTAAGTCTGCAGAAAGCACTCAGGATAGGCCCGGGCATGGAAGCTTCTGGTCAGGTGGACTAGAGAGCAAGTATCTCATCAGCCAGGCCTGTACTCTGTCAGCAAAATCATTAGGCAGACATAAAGAAGGAGTGGACCGTGCATATCCCCTGCAACCAATTTCTCACCACAAGAGTGCAAGAGCTCCACTGCTCAACACTGGAAGTTCCCCATATGTGCAGGAAGCTACAAATAGCGGATCAGGCTCAATAAGCAAAGGGATGGTTCCAGCAGGGAGCTCTCAGTTAGCTGCAGTGCTCTGCCCTTGGACAGGGGAGCTTGAACCATCAGTTCCCCATCTGTACAGAAGAGAGCTGGCCAACATCCTAAAGCTGGAGGTAGATAGAAGGAACCTAGAAGAGGCAATTCAAAAGAAAAAGGCTCTTCTTCGAGAGAAGCTAAAGAGGACAGAGGAGACGCTTAGGAGGATTCAAAGAGAGAAGGAGCTTATCAAGGTAGAGGAGAGAAGAGAAAGTAAAGTGGAAAGGACCAGTGAGCAAAAGGCCGCAAGGCACCCTGAACAGAAAACTTTCAGAGCTGCAGACAAACCGGATGTTGGGATCTTCAGTGGGGCACAGTCTGCAGAGGACACTATACCAAAGCCTGGCACCACTCTCCACCCTCAAGAGCTGGCTGTGGGGAAACTCAAGGAGTGGCTGGTGGCCACAAAATATGATAAAACAGACAACAGCAAAATACAAGACAACATACCCATGGAGCATTTAGCTTCTTGTTCAAAACTGGCCCCAAAACATAGCCTTTCTCTCTCTGCCCTCTCAGACCAAAATGCTGATGACCACCCATCTGCAGAGATGCTGTACATGCAGGCCACCAGTGCTGTGGAGCAGGAGGGGTTTGGACAGTGCAGCTTCTGCAAACGTAAGTTTCTCTGCACGAGGCTTGAGAAACACATGAGTATCTGTGGCAAGAACCAAGACTCCAAGAGGAAAGTGTTTGACTCCAGCAAGGCCAGAGCTAGGGGAACAGAACTGGAACAGTATCAGCAGAGGAAGAGCTCAAGGAGTCCTCAGGTAATGTGCAGTCCCTTTGCCTCTCTGGATCCACATCTACTGTTCACGTTCCTTCCACTTCAACATCTGACTGAGACACAAGAACCTTCCCATGTACATGGGCTAAGGGATACAATACAGCTATTGTCTCTGAAAGGTTCTTGCCAAATGGATAAATAGATCCATTTAAAATCTCATAGATGGAGGCAGGCATCCTGACTTGGCTTTATAATGTGTCAAGGGTGGTACTACTGGAAAAAGCTCTTGTTGTAGTTAGGATGCATACTGGTTCTGTAGCAGTAATGCTCTGTGACATTGGGCTGCAGGGAGCTGACTGAAAATCCAGATAATAACAGTCTGTTAAAATGAAGGCAGTGGAAACATGCAGCACTGCTCCTGCAAAGCAGATATAGCAACCCTCTTTAGTTCTTTGGCCCTACTGCTTGCTTTTCTGGTTATCCTCAAGCTCTTTCTAAATACTGATGTTTCCATCAGTATTTCCTTTACACCCTCCTTTGTGTTGATCTTTCTGATTGCCTTTGTGGGACTGAGCTTCTCAAGCTGGGTTTTACAACAACAGGAAAGGCATGGGGACGGGTGATATGGGTGGGGCTCTGGGTTTGAGAATGGAGGCTGATGGTGGTCTCAGTTGCCCTGACTGCCTTTCCCTTCCACAGAGTAAAACACCACCCAGAAAGAACAACTGGAAACAGAAGCACGAGGCTCTCATCCACATCTTGTCGCAGGCCCGCCAGGTGCAGCAAATCCTCGCTAAGGGGAGGAAGGTGTCTGACCTGCCCCCATTGCCTCCCATCGAAAATCCAGACTATGTTGCCTGCACCTACTGCGGGCGCAAGTTTGCTCCCCGAGTAGCTGAGAGGCATATTCCCAAATGCAAAAACATAAAGAATAGGCCCCCACCTCCACCACAGAGGAGGCGCTGATCAGGCGGTGCCCAACTGTACCTGCTGTGTGATTCCCTGCCTGGCTTTTGCCAGATTCTCAGCTATAGACATTTGTTTTCTGTAGTCTTAACACTGGCTGCAAGCTGCTATGTACAGCAAGTGAACACCTCAGGATGAATAAGCTGAATAACAGAATTTGCATACTTTAACCTTCACTCTAGGTTGCCCTACAAAAGATGCCTCTTTCCTCAGCACAAGAAGCTCAGCATCAGAAATTCCAGGGGTTAGAAAATCCAGTAAGAGCAGGCGCTTGCTGTTTGAATCCTTATATCAATGAATGTGCATAGAACAACAGGGATACTCTGAATTAGCCAGGCCCTTGAGGCAACAGAACAACCAACCATCACAATCAGATTTAATATTTTTTTTAAATTGAGTTTTCCTGCAGGACAAGTTGCTAGGAACCTCTAAAAACCAAAGCTTGCACCCTACCCTTCCTTAAGTCATCAGTTTATATTCATCTTGGTTGCTTCAATGGTAGGGAATTATGACAAAAACATATCCCTTCTTTTGTTCTCAAGATGTTATTTTTCTAGATCCTGATTATTAAATATATTAAACTAGTTCTCTTGTGTAAAAGTTATTTTAAATAGTCACAGAGCGGTCTGTGTTCTTACAGTAAGAATGACTACTTTGTATGAGAAAGTTGCAACAAGCAACGAACAAGGAATAAAAAAACTCCAGAAGCTCCTTTTGCAAGTCCTCGGTAGCAATAGCAGCAGCTCATGGGAACCTAGGAAAAGACCTAAAGCAACTAGGTTAAGCTGGAATAGTCAGAAGCTGAATAAGACGAAATATTCCAGCCTTCAGTGAGTGAACCTGACTCCTGAAAGAGGTTGGAAAACTTCTGTCCTATAGATACGTGAGCAGAAATCTCAATCCCTTGGCACACCCTGGAAAAGCATGAAGGTCCCAGAAAGGATCATTGCTGCACTGTGCTAGCCAACAATGTATGTACAAATCTGAGAGAAAAAGCAAACTCAAAAGAAGGGAAAATAATTTACTGTATCCAAACTGATCAGAAAAGCAAGACCAATGCTTTAACTTCAGAGTTTTCAAGAACAGGATAGCAAGACGTGACAAGAAGTAGGAAAGGGGTAAACTGAAACCTTTATGCCAGCCTCCTTGAATTCATAAAAGGTGTAAGTGATTTGAACACATTAGTTTAACAATTCAGTACCACTGCTTGTCTTCTAATATCAACTCTGTTTCCACTGCACTATGTTTTATTGACTGTATTTAGTGGACCCTCAAGGTCAGCAGTGTAAATGGTGGTATGTGGATACACACAGAAAAGTGTTTGATGCTATAAAGTAAACCCATGTGTTGGGGACTTCTTGTAACTGACATGCAAATGGCTCACACTGATATTGAAAAGATTGAAACTGTAGATTAAACAAACGTTATTAAAATTAAATCACCAGGCTTCATTTGTTACCAAAAGAGTTATACCAGGTCACCCTTCTTTACTATTGTTTCAATACCCAGAAAGTCTCTGATAACTGGTTTAAAATTTAGTAACATGTTAGATAGAGTATCAGGCTCGGCATAGAGGTTTAGGGTGCTGCTTTGCTACTATGGTTAGTTACCGTCATGCTACTCAAGCTGTGTTATTCAGGCCAGCTCAACTTCTTTTGCTCCTGCAGTACATTCCCCCTCTGAGACATACTGCATTTTCAGCATCCAAATCTCTAATGAATTTTAAGTCTTTAACTCTGCTCTGCCTGTCAAGATATTTCACAATTTAATAGAACTTCTCATAAAAGTGACAAGCTTTAAGTACAGTGTGCAGGAACACTGTGGCTGAGCAGGTGTCAGTCAGGTTCTCCCTTCTGTAGGCCTTAATGATCAGTGAAGATCATCTGAGAGAAACAGGTAGTTCTTCCCTTTAAGCCTCTCTTCCCGTTACTCATTTCCCCACTTGGCACTCAAACTGTGGAAATAAACACACACACACACACACACACACACTCACACAAAAGCGCCTGACGTCACTAGGAGGAGATGTAGCAGTATGAGAAAAGAATGGGTTTTTTGTTTGGTTGTTGTTGGTTTCTTTTAATGAAGGGACACAGAAATTGACTTTTTTTTTTTAACCAGAGCAAAGAACCTAAAAGCCCTTTCACCCTCTTTCTATAAGCAAAAGAAAATAATCAAAACCAGAATACCACAAAACCACATGACTGTATGCATATTTCCCTTTCCTCTCTTGGAAAAAAAAAAAAGAAAAAGAGTTCAAACACAGGAGTATGAGTTTAAACATTTATTTAAACAGAAATTCCAAACCACTCCACCCTTTAACCTTTCAAAGAAAGACAACGACAAACTAGTTTTCAGCCAGAGTGTCAGAGCAGGCATAAGTTGTGTTCCTCTACAACAACTCAGTAGCAATACTAGCAGGAGACCAACACATACAGAGCTAGCACTGCAAGAAGGGGAGAAGTAAAAAGGGTTTGAAACTGCTCAAAGGCACTTCTGCCTGCCTGCCTTTCTGTTTTCAGCCCAAGACAAAGGTGCTACCTTCAAACTGCTTTTTTTGTTGCATAGCTGGCTGGTGTGAAATCTGTGGTCTGTAACAGGCACAACCTGGATAGCGTGAATCCTCTAAGGCACATATGAGATTGTGGAGCACAGGGCATCCTCTGTCAGGAACCCTAATCCTCCACTAGATCCAAGGGGAATCCAGTCTGTGCACCTAGCTTCCCAACTGCAGAGCATTGAGAAATGAGGATAGCAGTGCACTGCAGGAGAGCGACTCTCATCAGCTTGGTGCTTGCTTATTGGACATGGCTCAGGCTCAACTTTTCAGTCCTCAAAGACACTGTTGCATGTGACCAACGACCCTCAAGCCGGGACCCTGACCTGAGAATTGGCTCCAACACACGTGGGGGAAAGGAGAGCAGAATCACGAGGGCAAACAAGCCTGGCTCTACCAGGACACCTGATTCTCACCACCTCCCAGGAGGGCTCTCCTCCTGCTTGGCTTTTGGTAGCAATGGACAGGCACACTGGAACCATCCTTGCCCGGGACGCTGCATTGGGATGACAGCACTTGATTCAGCTCCCACATACTAGCAATAGGCACCAAAGAAGTATTTAAGGAGCGTTACAAGTAAATGGTTTGGCATCCACCTCTAGAGACATATGGGGAATGCTGGATTCCCCAGAACAGTCTCTCAGAAGAAGTCTGTCAGAGGTGATACAAATTCCACCTCCAGTAGACCTAAGGCAATTCTAGTAACATGGCATTGATGGGGGTCATTTAAGCCTGATGAAATCACAGCCCCACTCTCACAGCAAAGGTGAGAGGAACTCAGGACTCCTTGGAGGCGCCATGTAAGGCAGGGGAGGCTAGCTGCTCACAGGGATCTTACCAATCCCACAAGCTTTACTTCAAAGTCAGTTTGCTAATAATTTTAAGGGGAATAAAATTAACCTCATTCTCTAACAGAAAATGAGTAAATCTTGAGCATCAGACCATGCCTCTTCCCATTTCCAATTTTCTTGGGAAAGCTTCTAACTTCTTGAAAGAAGGCAAATTCCAGACTGAGATTTGATCATTCATGGTCTTTGGGGAAGGCTACATCCTGTCACCACAGTAGTGACCTATTCTGGGTATGAAATGGCATTCCAGCTTCATCAGAACACTGAGTGGAAAAACACGGATTTTTCCCACACCCACACAGAGTGTAGGCACAGGGACAGAGCAAAAGAGAAGCCAAGCAGGGAGTAGCTACAGGTTTATGCCAAGAAACCAGAAACTCTGGCACCCAAACCAAGTTGAACAACTGGAGCAATAAATGGGTAAGTCTGAAGCCCAGATGCTTGGCATCTGGTTGGGAGGCAGGTGGTCAGAAATGGAGAACTACAGATCCAATCTCAGCCAGTCCCCACTACTGCTATGGGAAACACCTGATTCACTCATCTTGGTGCATTGCTTGGAAGTTGGAAAGCCCTCACACCCAGAATAAAGCCTTCAAACTCTGTCTATACAGACCAGTGGGCACAGCCATATGGCCAGAAGCTGTGCCTCAAGGCCAGGGACATGCTGTCTACTATTATCTCCCTAAGAAGAACATCTCCACTGCCTCCAGAATGATACATTCGCTGGTCCCTCTGCGCCTGAGCAGAGGGAAGCAGCCTCACCAGCAGGGCCTTACCACGTGGTAAGGAGAGGATCCTAGTCCTTCACCCCTCTGAAGTGAAGGTGGCGAGTCTTAGGGTTCAGCCAGCTTCAGTACAAAACATGTTTCCTCCTCTCATCTAGAGTTGCAGTGATGAATACTGGGGTCCCAAAGGCAGCTCCCAGGAAACAGTGAAACAATGAAAGGGCCACAAGCTGCTACTGGAGCCATTGCCATAATGGGGCCATTCTGCCTCACGTGCAGAATTGACAGATAAGGTACAAAGAGGAGCTGCTGCTGCTTCAATCACTGAGCTGGCCTAGAGCTCAAGGGCCCTCCCCCTCTCAAACTCACTCCTAGTTCATATCAAACGTACATGGGTGCTGCTCTGGAGCCTCCGGCCTCGCTCCTTGTCTGCGAGTGACCTGACGCCAGAAAAGCCGCTCTCTGCATTCGGTTAGTGTGCTGTGAAGTTAGATGGATCCCAGTGGGCTCAGGAGACTAGAGGTTGGAGCGGCACGAGTCCGTTCCCAGGAGACACCAGGAATCTGAATCCACGTCAGGTTTTGGATCCACTTCCATCTCCTCTTTGGTTGTCTGTGTTCCTTTGGAATGAACCTTCACCTGTCAAAACACACAGCAGTTACACAAACAGCACCAGAATAATAAATAAATAGATAATAGATAATAAATAATAAATAGCTGCAGAATAGCTAGAAGCTGCACAAGGCCCAGTTTGCATTCTACACAGCCATTTGTGACTCTTCGCAACATCTGACTGCCCATCCCTTCTCATCAGCAGAAATAAAGGTAAATTCCACATCCCTCGAAGAGTGGGCTGTCTCAGAGGAAACGCTTCTTGGCTTCATTCTTGTTTTGCTCCTGTCAGCCTGCATCAGCAGCTTACACAATAAACAGTCATCTCTGTTAGTCCCACCAAACTCTGCTGATAGATGGCTGTTAAGAGCTGCTTCCCTCTGCACAGCCTCCACAATATGCAGGAGCACGGTGAGCCCTGAGCATGGATGTGCACCCAGATGATGGATTCTCACCTGTTGCATTTCCTCCATCCTCCTGCAGAACCGCTGGAGTTGGGCACTCAGACGAAGGGTTTCCTGCTGCAGCTTCTTCTGATCATCCAGACACTGTAAAACCAGGCCTCGGAGGTGTGTCACCTCCACTTGCAGAGTGCTGCACATGCAGCCTGCACCAGAAGATGCATCCTTCCCTTCACCACATGGTAAGGTTGGACTCAGGCAAGTAGGCTGCAGAGACATGGAAGGAAGCCAGGCCAGGTTTGAGTGCAAGGCCAGGAGCTGTATATGCCACAAGAAAAAAACATACCCAGAGTGTTATCCCAGCTTGCTCCCCAACTCGCCAAACTTCTGGCGGGCAGGGTCAACAAGCTACTTCTCCTTCTGTCTTCTGTACAAAGCCACTAGCTTCCTCCTTTTCCTGGGAAGGTTGTTCCTGTTCTCCTATCACCAAAATTCATCTGGTTTACCCCCATTTCCCTAAGCGTAGGATCTGTGTCTCTTCTTGAGACAGAAAAATTCCTACAGTTAAGTAGTCTCACAGGTTGTAATTTCTCATTGATTTTCTATACAAATTCTTTCCATCTCACAACAAATTCTGCTTTCTAAGTTTCTGTCTTCTGCTAGGCTTCTGAGCCCTTGGCTTCTAATTTTTTTCCAACTGCATTATACACATTTTCCCACAGAACTGATTTCATTACTTTAAATCTGACCAAGAATCAGCTTTGTGTTCTAGATCCTTGGGAATTTTTCTCTTTGCAGTGTCATCTCTGATTATCACTAGCCCTCTTTTCCTCATTCAGATGAATTAAGCCAATCAAAGTTTCTTCTCAGCTCTCCCCATAAATCACACATTGCCATTTATGGTCCCCAAGAGCTTTCAGACAAGCATTCACTTTGGTAACATTACCCAGGGCTCCGTTTTGGGCTTGTTTAATTCAACAGGTTCCTCAGAGGCCACTTTCAGTCCTTGAAGTTTCTGGTAAGGAAGAGTCTCCTTCTCAGGCTCTGAAGATGCCATGCTCAGAGGAAACGGGCTGTCAGGCATGGGGATGAATTCAGCATTCTCCAGCTCCTGCACACACAAAAGCAGCTCTGTCAGACCTGCCAACTTCCCGCAGGTCATTTCATCTTCTCAATCAATGCACCAACACCCTCTTGTGGTTAAA